CGGAATAGTCGGTGGCCTTCTTGCAAAGAAAGGGAAGCGTGCCCAGTCTTCGACGAGTTCAAGTGGTACAACAGTAAGCTCGCACAATGAACTTGCTATGTACCAGGGTGTGCCATGCGATTACGATGACGACGACGTCGATTTTGACGTGCTCAAATGGTGGAAGCGGAACGAACACATGTTCCCATGTCTCGGCATGCTAGCAAGACAAGTGTTGTCCGTCCCGGTATCAACCGTAGCAGTTGAACGAGAATTCAGTGCTGGCGGCAACATTCTAACCGACTACCGAAGTTGTCTTAACGCTGAATCTCTTGAAACACTGGTTTGCAACCAAGATTGGCTCTTGGCAAGACGTCGGGCTCAAGAGTCATCGTACCAACTTGAATCGGAGCATTACATGAATGCAACCACAGATGGAAGTCCGAGTTCTTAAGAATAAGTTATAAATTTTTTTTAATGTTAATGTAAATATGTAATTAGTTTTTTTAGGTGAGCGATATATAAGATCCATCGAGGGTTTCTTTACGGTTCTTTACATCGTCGCTTTTTTTGAACCGTCAGGATATTAAATGTGGTTGTTCTTCAGTTAGTGTATTACTCATTTTCAATATTTAAATAACAACTACATTTTTAGATTTTTTATTTCATTCTTTCCTTAAACAATTGCAAATTTACAATTTTATACTTTAAAAACTTAAAAAAAAGCAAAACAAAAAATAGGGGGGGGGGGGCCGAACCCGGCCAATCCGGTACCGGAACCGGTACCGGCCGGTCCGGTCACGGTACCGGTGCCATGGGGTGGCGGTACCGGAACCGGTGGTTCCGGAACCGGAACCGTTCCGGAACCGTACCGTGTCCACCCCTACCCCCACATGTTCTAAACGCCCTCCTGGACGTCCTAAGAAACGTCGAATACCATCGAGAGGCGAACCTCGAATAAACCAGTCATGTTCACGATGTAAATCGTCTTGTCATAATAGGAAGACATGCACAAACCCACTTCCTTTGAATTATCACTGATCTTTTGGTTATTTTTATTATTCATATTTTCTGTTCACAAAACACTATTCACCTCTTTTGTACGTGACTATTTTCAGTCGAAGACATGTTTTTTATTCTCAATTTTATATAAAAATTTATCTTTTTAAGAATGGCCTTATACCTGGACATTATATTCTGACCACTATTTCAATATCATTGCCGATATCTCTGTATCATCACGCATAATGACCATAAACCTTCTCTGACTATTTGTCTAATTCATCGTCTGAGGATGTAATTATAATGTCTTCATAAACAGAAACAATGAACAATTTAAAGTCCTTAAGGCACACTACCTACTGTTCAAGCTCAAAAAACTACGACGAATATTACGCAATCGGTCAATATAACTCTCTACATGACTACTCAAGACAAACTGTCTTTTCGGCAAGCCAAAATATTAACCAGGTCAAGGCCACCAGGGGTATCCACTTCCAAGAACTATACAATTTATTTACAAAAAAACTCAAATGGTAATCAATATTTATGCACCTTTCATTCATAACGACTTTATATACGAACATGTATAGCATTATGAAGTCATTGCAGCATACCGACTTCCAATCAACACAATACATAAACGAAACATAAACAGAAATGACTTCTGCTCAAAACCAAAATCCTTTTCAAGGGTATTCAGCATGCCGACTACATATATCTCACGACACCATGTTTGATGCCCATATCCATGACCATTACTCTAAGTACATTACGTTGGTCATTCTTAATGCCAGAAATTTAGACATTATCATTTAACCTTTAAGTCGGTACATGAAGAGATCACAGGTCATTACCAAAAAAACCCCAATGACTACGTTAACAGACACATCTACTCATATCAGAAATTGAGTCAAAGATGCAACAGAAACAAAAACCCAACCATTTATAAAGCATGACATCCAACATTAAAAAAAGGGTAGAATAATCCTCAATAAAACAATACAAATTACCCCCGTCCAGTAACAGAAAAACAACACATAAGATTTCATTTCTTCACGCCCGCCAACGATGCGTATTTCATGAGTTCCACCGTCATTTTCCTCCGGTAATCATTGATTTTAACAGCATCAATGCCCCCCACATCCTTGCCCATCATGAGGTATTCTGCAACTTTCACTACAAATATTCCACAACTTGACCTATAAATGAAACAAAGTATCAACATTCTCATTAAACATATTCTAGAGTATACAAGTATATATCAAGTTGGTAATGGTAAGCACTTACCCATCCACTTGTTGAGGACAGTTTGGAACCCCCTCCACACGCAACGCTGTTTTGCCCAGTTCTTGATCTAACTTATCGCCATAAACTCCAAGTCGGTCCATTATCTTTGGTAGGAAAGTTTGAAGGCACGGAAGGTGGGTCTGGATATTTTTCAAAGATTGACTCCTCCAAACGTTGGAGTCATAAACTCTTATCACTCTCTCTCTCTCTAATACTAAGGACCAAAAGTGTCCAATGCCCGGATGTTCCTAACGGCATGTATACATAGTCGGTTTCTGCCCATTTACGTCCAAACTCCATCTTCCCCTAGCTATGATAGCCATAATGTTGCCATTCCTCGCAGCGTCTTTAATTGTTAAGTCCTGCTTAAGGTACCTCTGATACAACGTGTTGAACAGTGTTAAGAAGGACGGGTCCGTTGTCGTATATTTCTGTTGAAACCCATACTCGATCCCCTTCATCCTCAAGTAGTAGAATATCACTTGCATATGCTGTTTTCACGGGAATACAAACAAATGAAGATGTTAGTTAGTTTTTTCTTAATATTACTGTTTTCTAAAACATTAACATTTATCGAATAATACCTCGTCATCTAGCCATGCCCATGAAAAAAAAGCTTGTAATACCAACTTTTTCTCATCGTCTCCTCCAAACCATATAGTGGCTTAAACTCGCTAGGATCCATCTCATCTCTCCCAGCCAAATACTTCCGACCCCGCTCTCTTACATGATTCTTCAACAGCCCGTCAAATAAGACATCCTCCAATGATTTAACAGCTTCCTTTAGTGGCATTGCATCAGGATCCTCACTGAATGGTCCCTTGAACATCTCTTCGTCCATCATTTCCCCCCTATGTCGATACGTGTTTGTCTTCGGGTGTTTATTGTTCCTCCCAAGTGCATCTTCTCCGGAAGTGAATCTCCTTGGAGCTTTCATCTCTCTCCTTGGTCTATGTTTTCCATCCACCGGGTCCATATTCTCATCCCCATCGTTCAATGGGGCGTAAACCTGCAATTAATTGTGTTTGCAATCGTAGTCACAATCTTTTAGTTTCTTAACTTTCACACTGCGGTTATAACCATAAACGTGCACCATAAAAAATTCTCTTCTTAAAAAAAGGAACGTCACGGAACTTACCACTATTTGGGTACACTTCTCCTCCTCACTACCCACTTTGTTCACATCATCTTCATCATCCGAATCTTTCACCTCCTCCTCAACTGCTTTAATCAACTCCTGCAACTCTTTTGAAGGTTCAACCTTCGTTTCACAGTAAACAAAATTTGTTAAATATCCACTCCTACGCAGTGTCTCTTACATGACATTTTATTCCAGTGTCTTTTAAATGACAATGTTACACTCAACAGAATTAAAAAGCATACCACTCTTGATCTGGGAGGCTCATCACTGAAAATATTGAAATCTAAGGGATAAAACAAGTTTTCCTCCGGCTCCTTCATCAAAGCCTACAAAAACGAACGTGTATGTTTAGTATTAAGAAGAAAAGCCTACAGTAAAAACCTCTCAACAACCCCTTGCCATAAGTCAACAACAAACCTCACACATCTGTGTGGGGGTCTCAAATGGGTCCTTAATCTCACCAACCTCCACAACTTTTTCCAGTGGGGCACAAGAAACCTGCATTCAAATGCGCATACAATAAAATAAAACTAAACGTGCAGTTTAGGCATCTTATAAATCAGAATTAATTACGTACCGCCTCAGGTGTCCGATTAACAGATTCGGTCACAGTATCATTTTCATTTCCCGGTTCCATATGAAGAACAAACTGGTCTCCTGCTCTATCAGACTCATCACATTCCTTACCCATTTCCTTATCCCCCCCTTTTTTTCATTTGTATGACAACTTTCCTCCAATTATTCATAGTGTTCAGCTATATGTGAGGGTTATAATCTTCATCATCCGACTCTGCCATCATACCACACTCTCCTGCCATTCCTTCTTTCACTTCACAATCAGCACCATATCCTCCAACTTCATTGTCATTATCAGAATCCAAACCTAAATTAAAACTCGGAATTTACCCATCTCTTTCTTTTTGTTCCTTTCTCCCTCTCTCCTCCGAAAGTAAGCCAGCCGTTGCCAAGCACGCTTCCACAGTTCTCTGGTGCTCTTTAAAGTCATTACTTAAAGCATCAATCTTCTTACTTAGAATTTTATTACTCTCCTCCATCGAGCATATTCCTTTAAGCACCTCTCTTAGCATCTCCTCCACTCCATCAGTTGCTTTCTTTTTCCCGACATCATCAACATTCGTCTTCTTCATTTTCTGAACAACTTCCACTTTTCTCTGGTTTTCATTGCACCTCCCTCTTGCACCCTTCTTTGGCAGCTTTAACTTTGACCTTTTATCCTTCCGGTTCTCAACCTCGTTCCCATCGGCCATTTCATCACCCCAATGCAACCTCCCCTTCATCTTATTGCACCCTGCCCCAAAACCAGAATCACAAACCTCACCATCAACCGCTTCATCCAGGTTTAAATCTTTGAAAAAATTGGTGAAGTCATATCTCCTCAATTCAGTCTCCTCCGGAATCATACGCTTCCAATTCACCTACTTGTCAAAATGTTTGTGCACGCACTGTTAGATGTAATTACCATTTCAAATTCAACATATACATACAAACATTACAAGTTCAAAAAAATAAAAAAAAATAATCATTCTACTAGTCTACCTTTTCTCCTCCAAAAATAGCAGCTTCTAAAGACGGGTGTTTTGCTCGGGCACCAGTCTCCCACCTAAGTGCCCTTGGCCAAATCTTGTCGCTACCATTCTTTCGTGTGCACAATCCACTCCCCTCTAAATTCATGAAGGTCTCAAATGCCCAGATTTGTAAGGGAAACAAAAATCCGGGAAAGGTGAATCTGTTTATTTCACTAGTTTTCAAGATGACAGAACTCTTAGACACACTTTCCACCAAGTCATTCCATAAATGCTCGCCCCAAGAAAACTCATTGAACCATGCCAGGTCATTCACCAGATAAACGTACAGGGGAGGCAGTTTGGAACCCCCCTGGTTTCCTGCCATATGCTTTCCTAAAACATGAAGCAGCCCTAACTTAACCACATCCTCCACATCCCTTTTTTTTTGAGCTTCCAATTTTCATAAAAGCCGACTCCACCTCATCCCGGGTTAATATCATGCTGCCCTTAAAGTATTTCTTGCTTAGTTCATTACCCTCAAAATATTTTGAAACATCTCCCTCATCCTCAACACCAAACCTTAGCCCAGTTATAAACGCAAAATCGCTCTTATACATTTTCAACACTCTATCCCCAATTTGGAACGCAATACTATTTCCGACATCTTCCCTTTTTACTGTTTCTATATAATTAAGAACTAAAAGGATTAACAACTGTCCATTAACCCACTTAATCTCACCCATGTTTAGAAAAATGACCAAAAGCTGTCTTTCTAAACATTGCCTTCTCAGTTTTATTTAACACCTCTTTAACACAATTCATTCCAGCACCTAAGTTACAATAAAGATTAACTTTAAGTCCTGTAATCCCTACTAGTAGTTCCTCTGCACAAACTCTTACGTACACCTGTCACAAACACAAATTGTAACAAAAAAAACAAATTAATCTCCAGCAAATGACTTGGTCATTTAGCAGGATCAGCCCTTGAGTGATTGATGGTCATTATGATAATGTTGCTTATGTAGTAGGAGGGGAAAGGTTTTTATGTTCACATAAAAACATTTCCCCTCCAACTACATAAGCAACATTATCATAATGACCATCAATCACTCAAGGACTGATCCTGCTAAATGACCAAGACATACATTCCAAAGATATGATCATTATGCCTTTCCCTAACAAAAAAAACCAGACTCAGTGAAGGTCATTATGATACCGTTTCTTATGCACTATCACTCAGTCCATTCACAAAAAAAGTCAGTCATAACACCAAAAAAAATGACTATGAGTCAGTCCTTCACTGACCCACCAAAATGACCAATACATATATTTTAATCTAATAAAATGCCTATAATCTAGCAGTATAAACCCCCATACAACAGGGGAAGCAGCCATGCCATTCAAACAAAAACTCAACAAAAAGTAAGAAAATAAAAAAGCTTCACAGAACAAACACAGTTAAACAGGCCCATTCAGTAAAGGCCAACTAAAATGACTAAATAGTGTAACACTTAAACTCTAACAAAATGACTCCAAACACACATGAATGCATTACGTTAAGTCAATAACATAACACAGTCAGAAGACACCAAATGTCTGGGTGTTCTTATTCTTGGAATTCATTCTGGAACAAAACTCATACTAATCCCACATGACTACCATTACATAACACAATCAATCAATTCACATGACCTCAACAATGTCTACTATATTCAAATTTATTCACCAACCAAACATATTCTACCTGGCCAATAAAAACTGCTGCTCTAAAATCACTAGGAGTGAAACAAAACACTCTTTTACATTCATTTCCAAACAATAATGTCTGCCTTCAATATCAACACATATATACCCCATCCATAACAATAAACATGAATGCCTGTGTTCTCATTATATATTTGTCAGGAACTGGCATCAGTACAAACCAATATGTCTATCATTAGAAAACAAATTCTATTAATTCCAAAACCAATATATCGATAGTCCCAATTAACCCAACCCAAAATCCCAAAAAAAATCCTGTAAAACACCCAAAAAACAACCTGAGGTCAATGACCCAACACTGCGTCAGGCATTATAATGACCAACCACTTACAGTCAGTTAAGCCTATTCCATTAGGTCATTAAACAAACATTTTTTCACACGAAACTGCAAAAAAACAAAAACTAAACACCTCAAAAATGACCTATAGTCTCACAATTTCAGCCCCACAACTAAGAAATGACTATCACACATTGCATTCCACATCCTCAATGTTCCAGCAACAAAATTCAAATTAACCCCAATTTCAATTTTAAACTGCAACCAAACCAAAATTCCAATTAGACACACTTACACTTCCATTCCTCAACCTCACCAACATCCTAGTGTTCAGATCCGGCGGCGGCTCAGTGACGAAGTCATTTTCCTCGTCATCGACAGCTCTTCCAGAGATTGAACTCCTTGCCATGGCTGACAAACTGTATTCAAGACGCAGCTTCTGTATAGCACAAGCTCTATTCAATTCGCCCTACTGACCTTCGTATCACTGTAAAACTCCAATTAGCCAAGGAAACAAAATCTCCATGTAAATAGGGATTGGTTTGTTCCCTTCGCCATTTGGATTCTCCGTATAGCCAGCGCCGTAAAAGCCGCCCTTCCTTTTTTTGTTTTTTTATGCTTTTCATTAAAGACCGTGCTACATTGCACCCACCCATGCCTCCTTTGCTGCCTCTCTATTTAAGGTATTTTTTTATCTTTTCTCCTTCTTTTTTTTCTCTTTTCCTCTATGTTGCTCTGGATCTGCACTTCCGCGGCAGCGACCCGCTCTCTTCTCCCTTTCATGCGCTCTCCTTCTTACAAGCCAGCAGGTAATCTCTTCTTTTTCTTATCTTCATCTTCATATCTCTAATGCGTCAATTTCTATGGCAATAATTTTTTGAAATTTTGTAGAGTACATAGGATATTTGGTGATTATGAACTTACAAACATCTATTGTTACACATGTTGAGAATGAGCAACCACATGATTTTGGTGGTGAAGAAGAAGACCTGGTTTTATATGAGTTGCAGCCCAGTTGTAAGTGTTGATATTTAGACCCCATTCTATATTTATTTGAAGTAGTGAAAAAAACTGTTTTGTTTTCGTGTTACAGGGAGTAAAGTTCTGTGAATCTAGGGTTTGTCCTTGTCACAGACGCTAATTATCTGTATGAACTCTGCATTTGGTGTATTATTGTTTTCTTCATAGTCAGGTATTTTATTATATTAAAGGTACTGTTTTTTGCAGCTTTTGAACCAGATTTTTTTCTAAACGATCCTTGCTTTCAGTATTTATTTAACGACGAAGGGCAAGAACAGGCGAGTGGTGAGATCAGACAAAACACAGATGACATTAACAATGATGTCCGGAACAATGGTCAATGT